AGCGAGTTTAGCAATAGAGCGGGTTGGGAGGCAATGAGTGACCCTCGATGATATTCGATGGTTGCTTGGAGCACACGAAAGAAAGCACTCACAAAAAAAGGAGAATCAAGGCTGGCATCTGCAGATTGTGGGCCATCTTCCTCAGCATCATCATCATCATACCCCCTTTTATGAGAATTTTTGCAACTTAATGAGAGAGCATCCCTACGCATAGCACGGAATGCAGCGAGATTTACTGGTCCTCGCAATTGTTTCTTTCTCTCCGTCTCACATGGTCTATAAAGCCATGACATGAATGCGTCTAAGTCGTCGACGACCTTCGACGTCCAGCCAAAGTCAATGAACCCTGCCAATCCCGTGCATCCGACTCCATTTACATCCAATGTACCGTACAAGCAATTCACAGGAGTGCAAACCTTGAACATCGCGGTCGAGGCGCAGGCCGTCTCTGGCCTCGGACCTAGTGTGTCTCATCATCACGTGTAACACCACATGTGGATATTGACGCTGTCGAATGCCAATTTCAACATTGGCGAGCTCGCGTCGTCGTCGATCTCCGTACAAGTTCACCCTCCTCGTCGCATTAGCAAGTACAGCCTTGCTACTATATTCGTTGCGTCTGTTTCGGGTCGTGTTCAGCCGATCCCACCTGTTTGCTGGATGTCCAATCGATGCCCAACAGAGAGTAACAAGGATGGCGTCCTGGTCGTCTCTGTTCGCTCTCTGAAATGTGCGGAAACGTGGTGGACTCCAGCCAAGATGAGGATAAACTGCTCCAAACTCCCCCCCGGATTGGGAAGAGGTGATGCCCGCTCTGTGCCTACTGCTCACCCTCGGCACCATGAAGTTTTGAAATTGATGGAGCGCCCGGTGTGAGGAATGATCCAGGCGCAATGTTATGGATCGCGCAATAGTATTCACCGCAGCCCGAACTCTTCTTCCTGCCATTGTTTCGACCCGGGCGCTTCGCCGTCCATCCAACCATGTAGGTATGCTGAACCGACTAATCTGTGGTGATGCTCACCTGTCCGCCTGATCACAAAAGGCTCCGAGCATCCTGCAAAGATTGCAAACTGATCGCCAACCACGGCGTCCATCGGGGCCAGGCCAACATGGCCATGGTCGGTGATGCAGACTCTTCGTTCCGAGGACCAGAAAACCACATTTCGCACGTACAATTCAGCGTCTCTTTTCAGCGCTGCCATGTCACGGAGAAGATTGCGGGGTGACGTTATCAGCCTTTTCATCAAGTTTCCGGGCTTCATGGACAATGCTGCTCGAATGCACTCATCTAACCTCCCGCGAATGTCATCGTGCTGGGCACTGATTGCAGCAAGACGTCGGCCCATACGCCCGCCAGCGACGATGGCTTCCAAGTACTGACGCTGTACGTCGCCAACGGCCCGTTCATTGAAGTGAGTGCAGGCCAGAACCAGTTTCTGAAATGCGCTTTCCCACTTGATCATTTTGTAGGCCGTGGTCCACAAGATGGAGTCGGGTCCAGGCAGGGGTTTAGAGAGGCAAGTGATAGTTCCTACGGGCCAACCCCTCGTGAAGAGCACGTTGCCATCGCTGGGATCCCACCTGAATGTGGGTTCCGTCTCGCCACAAGCATTGAAGACGCACCGAATTTGTCCCCGGTCGTCCGACGGCGCCCATCGTATGCGAGTATCGGAAAGGACTGACTTCCCAAAATCATACATCCATGAGCCCGGCATGGAACTTTGATAGGACGCCAGAAGGCTCAGCGCAATATCGAGACCGCCTTCCTCGATCACGAACGCACTGAGTCGTCGCGAGAGCGTACATATGTCTTCAGAGTAGTCGACCGCGAACTTGTCCGCCGAGCTTTGTCTCATCATACCCAGTATGGCGTAGATCTTGTCTTGCTGGCAGGTAACTTCGAACCGTCTCGTCATCTCTAGAAGCTGAGCGGGCGAGTTGGTATCGAAGCTGCGAAGAGTTTTGAGCGAGTGGATTTCGAAAATCCGCTGCGCAGGACCATGGAGGTGGGGGAGCGTCCGCCAGGCCCCATACTGTGCAATCCGGCTGACCGAGGCAGACGGATTGGAGGTTTCCACAGCGCTCAACAGTCGTTGCGCCGTCAGGATGCCCAGATAAACGACCTCAAACGAGACCAGAGTTTCGCCCAGCAGGAATCGGAATTCAGAAGCTAAAGCAACCTCCTGCACAACCCAGAGTCGCGTGAACCACCTTCTGCTGCAAAACTTCACCAAGGCCTTGAGAGTCCTGTTCTTGAATAGAGGCAGCCCACGTTTCTGGGCCAGTGCCAGCTCCTCAGCTGTAGTGTCGGTGGCGTTGCGAACATCAAGTAGCTGTTCAAATAAGGCGAGAATGCGTGCAGAGCCGTCAGCTTCTTCGCCCAAGTCAGCTATGACTCTAGTCGCACCTGCGAAGATCTGATGCATGAGTTTGACCTGCTTCTCGCGCTCTCGGCGTCCTTTGGTGTCGGTCGATTGGTTGATGCAGATACAATCAGCGAACAGCGGATAGTCTTCGCCCAAAAGGTTTCGCAAACGACGCAGTGCCGAGTTCAGACTGCAAGTGATGTAAAGCCTGCGTCCGTCGCATTTTACAATATGTGGACGCGCCTCACTCGCCCAGGTGTAAGAAAGGGCAATATACTGCAGACCCCCTTCTGGTAGGGATTCAGGCTCAAGACTGTCATGACTGCTTGGGAGGGCGACTTCTCTGAGAGAGCCAGTTATTGGCGAGTGAGGATCCTGCACAGAATGCAGGCGGAACAACCTTGTCGACCTCTCAGACTGCAATGAGTCGTACGTATATGCTGGAAGCGAATGTAATGGCTTCTCTGCTTGCAGGTCTTGTCCGCATGAGCAATGGCCAGAAAGATCACGCATGCTCGAAGAAATCCCTTACGCATCGCTGGATGACATATCGTCGAACAGTGGCGCAATGCGGTCGATATCTGCCGTGGCGAGAAAAATCCCTCGAGAGCCACGAGCCACCAGCTGAAGCGGTAGAAACAACTGTAGGAGGACGGATGGGCTGTTATTGCGATAGCACTTGAATACCCGGGTTATTCGAGAAGGAAAACCCTACGAAATTGCCATAGCATATACGATTTGATCCTAGAGGGTGAGCGGAGGCCGCTCTAACCAGGGGCTTTAACTCAGCAATTAACTAAGCTATTAGCTGAACATCACTGGATGCTCCAGCGGACAAAGGTGGCACACCGAGAGTGAGGGGGACTAAATTAGGCCCCCTAGCTGTCTCCTACAAGTACTGCCCCTAGTAATCGAAGATGTTGGCTGCCCAGATCTAGCGCGCAAAACGGTATAATTTGCTACGCTTAAAAGACTATTTCGAGACCCAAATGATCCAGATACTCTATCGTTATTGACCCTACCATACGACAGGAACCATACAGACTCCCCGAAAGGTCTTGGAAAACGCGCAGGGTGTCCATCAACGTCTTCGGCCAATTCAGGGACGGTATGTTCCGGTCTGTCTGGGGCATCTAGACATCGCGCACCCATATTACTACGACTGGAGAATCGAGGTCACAAAACTCCATAGTGAGGTCTTGGGCGGGGCAGCCCATCGACACCACTGCTCGCCATGACCTCGAGAACTGTGGCCAATAACTCTTTCCCAGGTTCATGAACTTGGTGTTATGCAGGATATCTGGGCGTCCAATCCTTGTTACTGCGATGAAACGAAGACCGTTATGTTCACATACTCCTATGACGCGGATGTACCCGCTAAACCCGTCCCCCCTGATTTGCAGAGGGTGAAGTGTAGCGAAGACAGCCTGGGAGCACCAAGGCAGCACCGCCCCCACGGAAAGGGCGCCAGATGGCACCTGTTTTCTGGTACAAATCTTGAACCTTTCTAGAGTTTGTGGATTGGCTACCGCATTTATGCGCCAGGCACAGCGTGCCTGTGAACTGATGCTGGAATGAGTGTTCCTGGCTTGATAGTACCCTGTACATGGCCGGCGTCTTGAGCAGGAAGAGAAAGTCGAGATCTGCCATTGTCCACGGCCCGGCGCTGGCCAGTTCTTCCGCTGCGTCGTAGTCGAAGTTTTGGTTATGTTGATCAGAACCCAGCGCTTGCTGTAGTTAAATAGCCGGCATGTCACATTTGTGCTGTACGGAGGATGCATTCGATCAATATTTCGCAACAGCAGCCTAGCAGGAGCCTTTTGGTATCCCCCTTCTTCAGTAGATACCTGCAGCACTGTAGATGATGAAGGCGTGACTTCGCAGCGCTCATTCCAGCTTGGGTTCCTCCAGCGGCGAAAACCCTTTGCTCCTTCACTCTGAAAGCAGCCGTGTTGGACAGCGAACGCTGAAGGTGTATTCATACTGTCGATGTATCGACGTTCGAAATCCAGTCCGCAAGTTGCCGAACGAAGAGCTGCCCGCTGCTGATTGCAGGCGTCACCTTCTCATGGCCGAGCTTCTTGGGCGCGCTGTGCTGGTGTGCCTCGTGTTCGCTAGTTAACGTCTTCAAGGGTGTTGAAGCTGAAGGACTGGTTTTCTGAGGACAGGTTAGTCGATCACCTCTTTTGGGTTCGTTGGACTACCGCCGGGGTCCGTCAGCTAGTGAAAGACTGATGGAAGATCTAGAGCGCCCTCCGAATAGTTTGTTCTAGGAACATCCTCAGCCACATGCGAGGTTCGCGGGATGATCTGCTATATCCATACAGCATGCATGTGATTTCACTTATTATTGTACTTTTTTCTTTAGAGATGCCGCCGGCCTAGACTCTGGCCCGGGGAAATGATATGGGTATCCTGGAGCCCACAATATGACATTCAAGAGACAATATAGTAGACGCTCAACGCCGATGCTCGTTATGCATGGAGGAAAGATGTCGACAATCGCAAAGACATGTCCCTGCTGAGAGCAAGGTAGCCAGTCAGTCACTGGGCCGGATGGCTTGATAGACGCGCATCTCGGATATAAGGTCGAAAAAGCCCGAGCTTTTAGCCAGACCGCTCCCGTCTCGATCACTGACTCACTGGCCTCCTCCCGTGGGCAAGTGCGTTCCCGTTCCCATTTCCCCCAACCTTTGCCGCTCCGTTGTTACCTGCCGTAGAAGGGACTCCAACCGCCGGTGACGTTGTGTTAGTCATGACAGCAGCCGTAAGGCTCGCCGCGGGGCCACTCTGTCGACCTGCCCTGCGACCTCCTCCGGTATGAGAGCTGCTGCCCTTGAGTGCCTCCTCAATATAATATCCGAACACGAAGCGGTACAAATCTCGGAGCCATCCAAAGCCATAGACACAGCTTGTCATCCCTCGCACCGCTCGCGCAAGTTCGACTGCATTTACACGTCCCTGTTCGGCGATGGTTCCGGCGACGCCCAGGTTGCGAAACGTCGTGTCGTTTGCAATGGTCTTGCGGTAATTATCCAATAGCGAAACTTGCCATGCCAGAGTGCCAAACGCAGTATCCGGCAAGTTTCTGGAGAAGTTTGGTAGAGAGTTCAAGTTTGGATCCGCCGAGGTCCGCGTGTATCCTCGACCGGTGGCCAGGGCAGCTTTCACAAACAACGTTTTGAGAAGTATGAGAGTCGGATCCTCGGCTGGTGTACGAACAGTCGACGCCGTGGTGGCAGACATGGGATTTGGGCCTCCTTCTGAAACCGCGGATGCGGGAAGGGAGAGAACGGACGAGGTCGTTGACCATCGGTGACTAGTTGCTGAGGTCGTTCCCGGATTTGCAGAATGTATATTACGTGGCTGAGTAGGAGGATTAGGTGACAGTGTTCTACTTTGATTAGGGGCAGGGGTCGATGAGGTTGAAGAAGCGGAAGACATCCTAGATGCTTCTTCGGCTCCGAGGACGAGAATGTTTGGAACAGGGGCTTCATCAGGGGAGATGGTGGTAATTGTGTCCTCGAAAATTGTGGTGGGCGTCTCAGGCAGGGCTCTGGGGTTGCCATTCTCATCTAACGGGGCAAACCCGGATCGTTTGGCTTGATTGAATGCCTGGGTGAAGGTCGTCTGGCTTGGTCGTGGGGTGCCTCGTTCAGGACGAATTTGCGTCCAGCCCTCTCTGAACAGGTCGCACAGCTCCCAGCATGCTTGAATGGCTGAGCCGAGAAGCTCTTCATCGGGTCTTTTCCCTTCTCGTCGATTCTGCCTTAGACTGAACAGCATTTCCGCCAAAGACCAACAAGCACGGAGTAAGGAATCTGTCTCGTCAGCCAGCTTAGACTTCTGTTTCATCAGACGGTGGCATAGAGTGATGTAGAAATCCAACGTCCTCTCCCGAAAAGCCTCGGGCAGACTGCGATCATGAGTGTTGAACAAATGATTATTCAGTTCAAAGCTGACGCGAAGCACCGAGTCGGCTGTCTCGTTGTCGCGCACGCGGACCTCAAACAGCGCCTGACAGAAGTCACGACACAGATCCAAGGTCGGTCGAGACGAGTTATGAGAAAAGGTTTGCGACAAGTTATTGTCTCTGGTGTCGTAGAGGTTCTGGCACAGTTTCCAGCAGGATTTCCATGCTTGCTCTTGCATATCGCCGCGGCCGGAAAAGTTGAAGATTCTCTCACGGTGGATATGGCTCAAGCTGGCGAGTGTGTTACACAGGGTCCAGCATTCCGACAAGGCATTGCGGAGGGCATTGATTTCCGCTTCGGCGTCACGTAAAAACCGCTGGCCGAGCTGACTTTCATCTCCGGTTTCATCGGTGCTGGGGTGGTCAGTGTCATCGCCCTCAAGAATGCCTGCAAAATCGTCAGCCACAATTGACGGGCGAGGAATGATTGTCCTTACTAGCAAGACTCGAGCCAGGACGACTCAGGGAACTGAGGTCCTGTCTTGTCTGTGCTCTTGGAGTGCGAGACCAGTCATGAAGAGGGAGTGCAGGAAGAGAGGTTTGAAGCGGGGTCGGAGGCATTGGAGCCTCATGGGCCTAGAGACATCGGTCAGCACTCCAGAAACAGCACAGCGCGCGACTGTCACTCACTTTAGCACTTGGTTTGGCGCCCGGCGGTTTTGTGACGGTAGATCCTGAAGCCTTTGAATCAGTGGAATCCGCCCTCGATCTTTCGATGTCCTTGGTCTCTGTGGCTTGAGATTCTTTAGCTTTGGCTTCTGGTGGCTCGGTCTGCTCCTTCTCGGTGTAAGATTGAGAGGCCTCTTGGTTCGGCTGAACAAACGTCAGTCAATGCTGCGGAAAACGGGAGCACCCCCCCAAGATATTGGACCTACAAATTTGCCAAAGCCTGTTGGTATATGGATAACAGACTGAGGCTCCTTCTCCTCTTCCAGTCTTGCGCGGAATTGTTCGTCCAGGGTTGGACCCGTCTCGACCTAGACCTATCATCAACCCACGGGCTATATCTGGGATCGCTGTTCACTAGGCATACCCGTAGTGGAGTTGCAATATGTTGCAGACCCTCCCTCAACGGAGAAGTGACTGGTGGTCGCTGTGCCTCATCGAATGCTCCAGGACCAGCGGCGGCCACTGAGCCTCGTTCTGTACCCTCCTCTTCCACTTCTTCGTCCACGTCCTCAAAGTTGGTCACGTCCGAGGCAACCGGCGAAGGTGCCACGGGATCTTGGGGTGAAGTGATATAGTTGGTGGGTGGAGGTTTGAGCTGATTATCAGTGTTGATATTGCTCTTCTCAGCAGACGCAGTAGCGGACCTGCCGAAAGTCAGATCCATTTCCTTCATGCTTTTTCAAACTGGACAAATCCTACATGGGAAGACCAGAGTTTGCGGCTGCCCGAGGTCGAGGCGAGTCCGGATGGTCTGCAAAGGGCGAAAATGGGGAGAACAACGGGTTTGTCGAAGGACTAAACCCCAGAGGTGCTCTCACAGCCATCATTTTTCTCTGCTGACCTCAATCGCCTGCAGCACCGTCGGCCACGATTGCGAGCTCGATCTGCACCGGCAGAACAAGGAAAATGCGTGGCGGTGGAGTATGAAGCGCAAATGGAGAGCAAAAAAGACGGACGAGGCAGACTACTGTCAAGCGCTGCTAGAATGCCCAATGTTTGGTAGAGGCCGCAAAGCGTCGCACGGCTATTGTTGCGGCCGCCTAAACGGTCGCGTGCGGCACCACGGGTTGACACAGGGATGTTCAGGATGGAGGGAGACGGTTGTATAGAGGCGTGCGGATGGAGGAGACACAATTGCGCCCAGTCATGGATAAGCAAACACGGCAAAGCACATGGTCAGATTCAGTGAGCAATGATACCGCTGGCAAAGGGACGTGTTGGATAGTAATTGGAAGAAATCCAGAGATCCAAAAACTATGTCGACGAAGGAACAGGGTCCCAAGCAATGGAGGGGAGAAAATGTCGAGAGGGCCGGAATGGTACCTAGTTTGTTGGTGGAGGCCTGATGTTAAGTGTTGGCGTCTGGCATATCAGAATATCCAGGTGTAGCATCTGATTCGATCAATCATGCATTGTTAGGCCCACGATGCTAGCTATACCTCTGTTGGATTAGGATACTCAATGGGGGAGAGGGGAGAAGATGGATGTGGTAGCCAGAGAGGGGTGTGTGTGTGTGTATGTGTGTATGTGTGTTGTATGTGTGCGTGTGTGCGCGTGCGTGTGAGGGACACAAAGAGATACTGGAGATCAAGACTCGCGCCGCGCCTAGTCTGCAAGCTGGGCCAGGGGTGCAAAGATTGTGATGCTAGAGTCAGTGGCGGAGGGGCGGCGGTTTCAGTGAGGAGCAGCGCGTCGAGGGCGAGATGTGAGTGGTAGGAAGGGAGTTCGAGGGCAATGCGAGATTCTGCAAAGAGCCAGATGATCCACTTTGACGAGTCTTGTTCCATCCATGGCCCCATGTCCGGACGGGATATCCAGGCCACCGGAGAATTTGTGAACCAGCAGGTTGGAGCGCAAAGGAGCTGGAGGCAGCTGGGGAGGCCAGATGGAGGAAAGGCGAGAACCTTGGACAGCCAGTTGGAGACAAATGGGCCCCGGTCTGCCACGCGACAGCGCCAGCAGCCAGAGGCGGAAAGCTTGGAGTGTGACGAAATGCAACTCAGGTGCATTGGAATCGCAGAAGCGTGCAAAATGATCACCGGCCGAGGAGAGCCAGCGCAGTCAATGATTCGGTCGAGGGAGTCTGGGAGGGTCAGAGGAGGTCTGGGTTTGCAGCCAAGTGGATCTCCATTTAGAAGAGTTAAGCGCCGACACAAGGGAAAGGAGGGTGCGGGAGGCAGGGAGGCACAGGCACCCGGCGAAATCGGCCTTTTCACCAGGTGAGGTTGGGGGTTGGATGAAGGGAACGCACCTACTTGGTAGGGTCCAGGCAGAGCCCCCAGCTAGGAACCAGCGAGGGCGGGGCGCAGGGCAGAGAAGAGAAGGACGACCGAGGCAGACACGCCAATCATGTGCCACGCCAGACACACTAGCGCGGGTTCAGCTGCACGTAAGCGCCCGGGCACAAGCACCATCACCACCACCAGGAGCCCATGGTTCTTTGACTGTGCAATGGTTGGTGGCAGATGGGAGTGGGATGAATAAGTGCATGCATGGCGGGATGGACGAGGTTGGATACGGAGTGAGCACCTCGCGAGCTAGCACCTAGCACGGCCGCTAACCAACCACCAGGTCCTGGGAACCAACACCACCCAATCCCACACCAACAGGAATCATTCGTCGTCGTACAGACGCACACGGGTATCATTTAGTGTGCAAGTTAGTAAACAAGGAGGTCCATCTGCGCAAAAGAAGAGCCGCATCGTAATCGATTGACTTGAACTTCGTGTCTCTATCCCCTCTCAAAATGCCTTTTCCTGGCCCCCAACACCATGCAAAATAAGAGACACCCCAGTAGTCGTCAATTTGTCCCGTGTGGCCGCACCTGTTCATTGACCCATCATTGACCTGGCAAAAGATCCGCCACATAATCCGTAATACAGGATGGGGTTTATCGAATGGTCATCTGCTTCGCCATCGCGCCGCCTTTGCCGATACCGCCCTCCCTGGAGGCTGCCGCACTCACGCCCGCTTTCCGCTCAAAGACTTTCCAGAACTTCAGACTTTCATCAGCCGCTGCGTGCAACTGTTAGCCTCTGTCGCTTCAATGCTAGTCCAAAACTTTGCAAAACTCACCTGCCGTTGCCAGCATCTGTCCATCAGGGCTGAGACAGCTGTGAAGGACTCGAGTCTCGTGTGCGGGAATCTCCACATTTCGGACCAGAGTCGGATAGCTCCAAATGCTCAGCGAGTTGTCTGGGAAGCCGCCTGAGCTCACCAATTCGCGGTAGTGATTGCTCCATTTGAGACTTGTCACTTGTGATCCCGTGTCGATGCTGTTGACTCGTGCGCCAGTCGTCGTGTTCCAAAAGTGAATATGTCGGTCGTACGACCCGCCACCAGTTGCCAGGAGGTTCAATTGCCAGGGGCACCAACTAAGAGCCTTGACCGCCGCGCGGTGATTCTTCTTTGCGAACTTGGGCGCAGCCAATGAGCGTGCGTCCCAAATCGACACCAAGTTGTCGTTCCCGCCCGTCGCCAGCTGCGCGCCATCGCTGCGCCATTCCAAGCCACAAACTTCCGACGTATGGGACACCAGCTCGGCAACCTTATGTTGGGCGACCCGGACGTCATGGTTGAAGACGAGCCCACTTCTTGCCCCCGTTGACAAGGTGTGCTTGTTCCATCCCATCACACCTACCCGAGTTTCATGTCCGAACATGCTCCGGAGTTTGGTTCCTTCTTCCACGTCCCAGATCTGGACTTCCCCGGAACCGAGACCCACGCCAACGTAGGCGCCGTCGCCCGACCATTTGACACTGCTGACATAGGTGTCGGGCGAGGTCTCCAGTAGGCAGCTGACCGTGCCGCTGTCGGCGGACCAGACATAGACATTGCGCTCCAACCCAATGGCGACCTGGTTGCCCGAACTCCAGTCGAGCAAATTGAGATAATAATCGTCCACAAGGCCAGGTGCATCTAGTACTCGCTCGGGTGCGGACTGAATGCGTCGACGGAACTGGGCTGACTGAGCACTTGCTGGCTTCAATGGGCGGTTGTATTGTGACCGGAGGTCAATCGGTTTGGATGATTCTGGAGGAGCGGGCTTGAATTCAAGAATACGTTGACTGGTTGAGATGCCACATGCGGAAGCTAGTGAGGATTCATAAGCACTGGAGTCGGGATTGGTCCGAGTGTAAGACGAGGTGGTGTTGTCGTCTTCAAGACCAAGGCCTTCTAGTGCAGCTGTGATATCGGTATCTGCACCTCGTGCAGAGATCTCAAAGGCACTGGCACTGGCAGCATTTGCGAGCACTATGGACCCATCTCCAGCAGTTCGAGGTCGAGTGTTCTCATCCGCCTTGCCACACCCGGCAGTCGCCAGACCGGCACTTGCACCTCGGTTGGGGATGAATCGGTCTGCGGCGTTGTTTGGGAGTCTGATTGTGGTCTTGCCCGCTCTCGACCTCAGGACCGTCTCTTTCTTGGCCTTCTCTCTTGACGGTGTAGCAGATGTGCTTGGCCCAGTGCCTGTCAATGTCCATTCAGAGACACCCAGCTCTAGTTGCTTAGGTGACTGCCGGCCCTTGGCAATATTGGATTTAGGAGATTTTGCATAGGCAAACTTAGACACCGATCTTGAGATGGATCGAGAGAAGAAGGTGGATGGGTCTGATTTGTGGATCGATTGTTCTTTTCGAAGAGGAGTGGAGGGTGAGGAGGTTGTGGAGATGTTGGTGGCGACACTCACGGTTCTCTGTCTGGGGGATGGGGTGAGAGGCATTCTGCCACCTGCGGTCTTTGTGGAAAAGAGGCCATGATGGCTTTTGAGAGGTGTTGACACTGAGACTGAAGCCATGGTGTCTAGATGTATTATGTTTGTGATCGAACGGACAAATAAATGTTTCGATCAGGGTCTGCTATTGAACCGAGAATCAATCAAGACCTCGGGGGGTTAGTAGTGGTTGTCGATTAAGCAATCAGAACTTGTCGAAAAAGTATCTGTGCCTGGGTCCAAGCAATTCAGTGATATCTCAAGATGCTCAACTGAATGGATCCTGAGAAAAGCTGTCGGTAAAGCGTTAGGTTAGTAAGTCTCTCAGTGTCGCTGATATTGTTGGATGATTGGGTAACCGAGCGTGGTTGTGGCACGGCAAGGCGATGCAGTCGGGGGTTCGACCAAATCTAGCAGATGCAGGTGTGATCTAGTGGACTGTATGCTATGCACGCGCAAGGATGTATGCGTGGAGGAGGGAGATATGGAGGGAGAGGGAGTATGGTATAATAAAGAGGAAGAAAAGATGTCTTGAAGCTGTGAGAAGTCGCAGTTGAAGTACTTTCCATTGTTGGTGGAGACGTCTGCCACGGCAACGGCGACCCACCTGACACTACTCCGTTTTTGGCGCTGGACCCTCGCTGATGAGAGTTATTACATCAGCACCACGCACGTGCTCGTCGGACGAATATTAATCCGAGCCGCACCCGCCATGCCCTAATAGCTTGAAACGTGAAACTTCGTCGATCATTTTTCATCTTCACTCTCCTTTTTCAACCCCCTTGTCATGTCCCTTTCATGGCAGTCGCCTCTACAGCCTGCAGGGATTTGATATTCAAGTCTGGCTTCACCAACTCGCATGGGCCTACGGGCTTTTTCAGCCCATACCTTTTCCTCTACGAAGTGTTGATGCGAGCTTTTGGCGGGAACCCCCTGTCATAGCAAAAGTCCTTTCCGTAAACGCCGAGGTTTCAGTTAATCTTATGATGGCCCAGCCGTCGACACCACAACCATTCCTTCCCCAGAATTCCTCTCTTCCTACAACCGCTGTTTCTGCTACGTGGGCTTTTGGCTCTTCCGCCCGGACTCCTGGTTCTGGTGCCAATACTCCCA